CATTCCAACACATCAATAACATTTTAGCCGCAAATTAATTATTGTAATTAGAATATAATCTTAAGATTGGTAAAACTTTATCAAATAGTTATTCAAATAAATTTTACAAAAAAAAATGTTAACTAATTAGGAAAATCAAAAAAGTTTAACCAAATGTGCGATAGAAAAATATAATCTAGTTCCTGGACTCCAATATTTTTAAAATTTAGACTGTATTATTATTTACTTCAAAATTTAATTTAAGTAGTCTTTAAAAAGTAAAAAAACGGGTTATTCGATATTCGAAAAATCAACATTTAGAAAAAACCGACACTGGTAAAGCAGAAAAAACTATTTTAAACCCAGTTGAAAAACCGAGTCGATCACCCTAATTCTTATAAAAGTAAATTTTTCTATCTATGTATAAAAATGTTTTTTTGTACATAAAAAAGTTTTTTTTTAACCTTTTTTTTCAAGAACAAAAATTTTTTAGATCTTTGTTGAAAAGAAATTTTAAGTACGTTTTTAATTTGTTTTTGAACTGAAACAAAAAAAAATATTTCATTTTGAACGCAAATTATTATTTTGATAAAAACTTAAAATTTTAACTTTTCAGTTTGCAATATCTCGTTTCGGCTTTAAAATATATTTAAACGAAAAAGTTATAATCATTTAAAAATTTATTAAGAAAATTGTAAAATAAGCAAAATGCTGTGATAGTTCATGTTTGATCACTCTGTTGCTTTGATTAAGTTGAAATACAGTTGTAATTTTTTAGCTCCCGAGATTTACTAGTGTTTACTCTTAAATAAGTAATATAACTTTAAAATCGGTGAACATAAAAAAATTATTTTTGGCCCCCATTTCAAACAATTTTCCAAAGTGGGGTGGTTGCCACCAATTGCTAGATAATTTTTTTTTTGTGGATTTTTTTCATTCGTGTTCTAGAAGTGTTAAAAATTGCAACACACAATATGACAAATCTGTCATCTATTTTTTTAAGCTTTTTGGTAACCCTTATTCTTTTATCTATTCTTGTATTAAAACTCCATTTTTAATTCGCTAATTTAAGGTTCTTTTGTAAACGTTTGCTTTCATCTTAATAAATAGATGAAATAATAGAATTAACAGGTTATAGGCCAAGCAGTTCCAACGCGTCAAGGATAAAATAAATGAATAAGTTAACAAGTCAGAGTGCTATATTCGGCTATGCCGAAAAAATTAATTCAGAGTGATATATGAATACACAAAACATATTTATGTTTAATATTATTCCGATATCTTTATTTCTTAATTAATTATGTGCATTTAAGTGTGCACATAATTATTTCCGATCCGGAAAAAATTTCGCAGAATATTTAATATCTACTTTAATCACATTAAAGACGAATTTTATACCGATATCTTTATTCATTTATCAAATATTTGCATTTACGTGGTTATCGGAAATGTGCCTTATATGGGAGCTATGCCCAATTATGGACCGGTCCAAAAAATATTTTGCAGAATGATATATGTATACATAAAATATATTTAAATCGAATATTATTCCGATATCTTTATTTCTTAATAAGTTATGTGCATTTAAGTGTTTTTCGAAAGTGGGAGCTATGAACAATTATGGACCTATACATTTCTACATATCGTCGCCCCGAAGTTATCTTCACGTATCTCCAGAAATTTTTTTTTGGGAAATTGAAGTTAAAGTTTCAACAATTTATATACAAAAATTGAGCCGAAAAATGTGGCTAAATTTTTTTATATAATATAGTGCTTGATTTTTCTACATCGATTACTGTAAAAATATCCAAAGTCATGGAGTACATTTTTCAAGATATGGTAATTTTTAGCTCAAGAAGAATTTCCCAAATTTGTTGTATAAACCACTTTTTGAGAACTATTTTTTAATTTATGGCATATACGTGAAAATGTACTGATAAAAACTGCATTATTGTTTTTCTCTTAAATTATCTTCCCGTATGTATGTATATCCGTTATTCGTGCAGTAACAAAAATTGGTATTTATTAGTTTAGTTAATATACACTAATTTTGTTTATGTTTATTTTTATTTATTCTAATACAATATGCATCATTTTTAAGTTCATTCTCTCTCAAACGCAGATGTTTAGCTAACTTCCCAAGAAAAACTTACATTGAAAAGTAATGAGTTAAAAAGCTAATAAAACCTCTTTTCATTAAGATTTTAACTCAATATATTAACACGGTGGTGTCATTGGAGACAAGTACTTACCTCATCGCTTACAAATAGGGAGTTAAAGAAGTACTTGTTGAGGATGATGTTTTGCTTTTAATAATAAAAAGAGCCAGCGAGTATACGAGCCAATGACTTCTGTTTGTTAGTCAAATATGCTACTCACTGCACCACTGCTTAGCTATTTTATTGCGCGTCAAATAATGGTTTTTACATACAAATTTAATTTTCTTCTAAGTAATGCAAACGGTAAGTAGTTGTCATTGAAAAGTATGTTGTTTAGTAAGTACAAGTAATTTCCAGATTTATATACGAAATCTGTATTAATACAATCCAGTGTACTTTTTAAAGGATTTCAAAGTTTTAAAGAAGTAAATTTTTCAAAAAAATAATAAAAATTCTACTGCTCAAACAATGCCACATTTGTTGTCAAAAGAAAAAGAAGAGTAGGGAAATATTTTGTATTATTTTTATTTTATACTGTCAGGATAAGAAGATGTCAAAAATGTCTTTTAAAATTTTTATCCTTTAATATCCATTTAGGTTTTCAGTATTATTTTTTAGGAACAAATGTTGAAGGCATTTCTGACATATTTTGATCCTGGCAGAATAAAACAAAAATAGCACAAAATATTTCCCAACACTTCTTGTTATTTTGGCATCAAATTTTGCAAAGTAGGGTAAGCAGAAGTATTTATAATTTTTTTAAAGTCCTTTCACAAGGAAACAGGATCACGAAATAAAAAACCGTGAAAGCAGTTTAGCATCATTTAATCTCTAGTTTCAGACTTATATCATCTGGTTCGTGTCTAATTTTGAGTGTCGGACGGTGTTATATGTAGACTATTTTCAGTATTTTTATCTTTTACACATACGTGAAGATAACACATTTTTTATTTCAATAATTTCATGCATTTTTTGTTGTATATCCACAAAAATGGCATATACATTAAGATAACACATTAAATTTTTAAGAAAAGTGGATATACAATAAAATAGCTACTGAATATCTCGTAAACCACAAGAGATAGAAACCTGTGGATTGATTAGATCGATAGATCTTCAAATTTTACCCCAAAAAATTACCCTAACTCATTTTTTTGGGTTTTGTGATATACGTGAAAATAATTCCGGAACGACGATATGTATGCGCAAAATTTCGTGGTAATACCGATATTTTTGACGAAGTTATTAACGATAAATCTATTTCCGAGAATATGTACCTACCTTTGTATGGAAAATTTTGAATCAATTATTTTGAGTTTGAACATATTTGATCCCTGGCAACAAAAAAAAAAAAACGTGTGATAAAATTCATCCAATTATCTTTGGTAATTTCTGAGAAAACTACTCAAGAATTAGGAAAAAACGCAATTTTTTTCGAGGTAGTCTGAAATTTTTACTCATAACTTTTTAAGTTGTGGACCGATTCGGCTGATTTTTAAAACCAAACTGCTTAGGACAATAGTGAATATTTTCAGCGAATTTGGCTAGTTTTAACGTTTTGGTTAGTTTTATGCAGTCAGACGGGCATAGCTAAATCGACTCAGAATTTCATAAGGATCCAGAATATATATACTTTGTTGTTTGTCTCAGATGAATATTTCTTGGTGTTACACACGGAATGACAAACTTATATATACCCTCTATCACCACTGACTGTATGGTGAACTTAAAGGGGGCATTATTCGTACCTGATTTGAGAACAAATCTTTGTCTGTATGGAAAATAACTCAGAACGGTTTGGAAGTACTCTTTAAACGAGATGAGTACGAAATCAAAACAACAATAAAGAACTATTCCTCGCAAAGCATGTAGAGGATTTGTATAAATGTTGAAGCAATGTTACCAGTTTGTAAAGTTTGCATTCAGGGGAAGCAATCCCAATGTCTGTTTAAGCTATCTCATAGCAAAAGTTAGGAATTACTGGGATTGATTCACAGCGACGTGTGCGGTCCAATGAGTGTGCGGTCCTTGCGTGTCAGTCGATATTTCGTCACCTTCATCGAGGACAACAACCGTTGTTCCGAAATTTATAGCTCTAAAATATAACTCTAATGGATATGGCAAGGTGTATGCTAAGTCAATTTGTTCTATCACCGCCAACTATATAAGAAATCGTTGTCCATCTCAGAGTCTTAATGATGAAATATGGATGAATAAACCCAGTCGTCAAATATTTCCAGAAATTCGGTTGTTCAGCATTCATGCTTAACAAGACAACAGATAAGGGAAAATTGAATCTAAATCCATAAAGTATGTATTTATTGGATATGATATAAATATATGGCCTTATTGAATTCTACAGCAGAAGCCATTTACCTCAGACGATTTTCAAATGAAATACTTGGTATCAACAATCCAGTTTGTATCTACAACGACAATCAAAGTGCGGAGAAATTATGCCGTAACCCAATTTTTTACAATCGCAAGAAGCATGTGGATATCCGTCACCATACTAATCTCTTATTTATGGTTTATTAAGCACTTTTTTCAAACAAAATTCCTACAATAAACTATCAATTACTTTATTAAGCACTTGTGACTTTTAATATATTTTTACAGGTTTTTAACAAACAAATTTAGGTTTTGCTTCAAATTAGTGAACAACTTTTCCAAAATGACTTTAAGTCTGCCAATGGAATCATATCACAAAGAACAAAAATTGGATAAAAAATATTTTTATTACTATGTATAACGTAACAAAAATTTATATTTGTAAATTAATGTATTGAATTGCTTAATTTGAAAGGTATTCAAATCCAGTGTTGAGGTCTGAAGGAAACAAAATAAAAAAACTAATTTAAATCGATTTTGACGTTTTTTTATTTCGACACATTTGATAAATTATTTTTTATTAATGGATACATAGATATTAGAATAAAGTTAGTTACATACAGTAGATAAAAACAAAATTTTATACAAATACATATGCATTAATTTATTATATAATATTTTTTATATGTGATTTTTATAATTATAATATTATTGTACATTTATTTATAATAAAGATGGATGAAAAACCAACAAAATATGGATAATTAATTTAAGATTAAAGCAATAAAAACAAAAACAATAAATGACCCCGGAAATCAATTTATGCATGAATGTACTATGTATGTAAGTGAATAATATTCACACTATTTTCTCTTATCTTTAAATGTTTTTTTAAGTTACACTTAAAAAATAACATTTTTTGTTTTCAATAGAAAAAAAAATAAAAATAATTTTACATGTTAGTGCAAACTTATGTGACAATCTTAGCCTTTTAATTTCCTTTTATTGGATAACACTAAATTTTAATATAAAATACTTTAGCACTAGTTTGTTAGCAATATTGTTCTGACAACCAAATTAATGTATAAAGATTATAGGCTGTGTTGAGAGTAACTGTTGCCTTTCAATATCACAAAATTAACATTTTATTATATATTTTGGTAAAAATGGTAAGAATATGGCATTAGAACATTTTTGTCATAAATTTAACAACTACTATCGTCAGCGAATCAGCGAATATTTATTTAATCTTACATGACGTTTGTAAGAGCAAAAACGTCGAACTATTGTACATATAAAGAAATTAAGATCTTTTGTTTAAATAAATACATATATGTATGTATGTATTTATTTAAGCTTAAATCACTAAACTTCATCGTTCAATTGTTTTTCTTCTTTTAGGTTTGATTGAGTCACATTGTTTGCACTTAAAGAAGGGACGACTGTAGGAATGGTTTTTTTGTGATGAGGGAGGAGGGACTTGTTTTTGCTTAATCTAACTTATTAAAAATATTTATGTAGGTATTTTATTTTATTGTATAATATTTGTAGTTAATAAGAATCACTTAAGACTAAATTTAATAAATATATTTAGTTTTGTATGTATATATTTTTACATGCGACTACCCAGCTTAGATGTTAATTCGTTTCATTATTGTTTGTTATTTATATATGTATATTTAAAGTTCACCATTGAGCTTTTTTTAATCTTAATTATTTTGCAACGATCTGTTGTAAAATTCGTTAATAAATATTTAAAAATTCTTATTGTAGTTTAATTAAACATACACACTTATTGTAAATATGTGTGTGTGTATATATATATACCTATATATAAATATACAAATGAATGTATGTTTAAATTTAGTTGGTTTGTATAAAAAATACAGTTCAATAAACATATTCAATTTTGAATAGGTTCAGGGGAATCAACAAGGTTTTATGTGGTCAGATTTGTTTGTCAAATGTCCATTAAAAGGGCTAAGTTTTTTCTTCAGATTTCTTTGTCAATTGTCTTCAGAGGGATTACTTTAGTATAGTTTTATTCGGTACTCTTTGTTTTTTGGTTTCTTTTCATTAATATTATCTATGTATTTGTTTTTTTTAATCTTGTGGGATGGAATGTGCATTGTGAATATTTGTGCTTAAATGAACAATATCACCGTAATTTAATAATGTTTCAATTTACCTGTAAAAATGTAACTGATTCAATTTATGTTCTTATTATTGAACGAATTTGCTCGAAGAATTATCCGTTGACAATACTATCATGTGTGCCCGACCAATGATTTTGCAAATCATCTGCGATTGGTTAATTATATTATCAAGAATATGAAATATTTATTTACTCTAAACGTTATTATGACTTCAAATTCATTAGTTTTTCAATAAAAGTTCGACCAAATTGATCGATGTTCGGATTCGATCGGACACCACAGCATAGTATGTGAATCAGGCCAATTCTTAAAACATTTTGTTTTCCATGAGACCTACATATATTTTAGAGAACAAACGTGGGAAAAATTGTTATTTAAATAACCTGATTAAATGTAAAGGATATAACAACATTTTAAAATAAATTGAAATACGTAATATTAACTCAATTTTGAAACTTTCTAAGTTTAAAATTTAAACCTTATGTGTAGTTTCCATATAACGTGCGAGTACTTTGAGTAAAAATTTTAAATTTATTTTGTTTTTGTTACAATAACAAAATACAAAAAAAATGTAACCCAAAATGTTGCTTGCTATCTAGAAACAGCACCTTAATATGGATGGCTTAAATACATTAATTTCGTGTCAGTACTTTGTATACTTAGAAAAATTTTTCCCTTAAGGTGAACTATAATAGCGGTCCTTACGAGATTAAGATATATCTTTTCAAAGTTTTGAGGTCTTGGTAAATGAAATGTTTTTCAATTATTTTCTACATATAACTCTATGTAAAATATCTTTGCAATTTACGTAATTGACAAAGTCAACAATTTTTATTTATTTTTTTAATAAGGTGATCAATTGGATGGGGGAAAATTTTAAAATATTTTCATAAATGCATAAATGAAAACTTAAGTGCACGTGTTAAATAAAAATAAAATACTGAGTATTTCCATAACATCATTTCCTGCAGATATTCTACGTACGCATACATTAGGGTGTTTTTATTATTAATATTTTATTAATTTCAAGGAGCATGGATCTTTAATATACTTGTTAAGTTTTATTTTCTATATTTAGGGAAAATTCGAACAGAAACATGTTGTGAAGTATTTTAAAATGTATGGCTATTAACTCCAACTTTCTACATTCGCTAATTTAAATCTATGAAAAAATATATAAAAAAGCATAGTTATTAATTTAGTAAAATTTAATTTGTTTGGGATGTTAGCACATATAAAGAAATTTTACTAAACCTTTTTCTCAATCCCATAAATAAATTTTAATAATAAAATTTGCATGTGCCCGCACATATTTAAAAACTGAACCAACTGATTTAATTTTAAACAAAACAAATTAGAAGTTTTTAATTTTTCTGCTTTCAGAGTGGGAAAAACCGACCATTTGTAGAAATGGAATGTAAGAATTTTATCGTTTAACCATTAGATATTCTTCCGGCTAAAATAAGTTTTGTATGAAAAATGTAAATTTGTCGTAAAGATAAAAATAATCAGACATTGGGGAAATTTTTTGTTTACTGCCATACCCAAATAAAAGCGTTGAGTGAAGCGTTACTTGTAAATTGTTTGTGTTTTCATAAAATTTGTATGGGACTCAACGCTTTTATCTTGAAATTAATCAAATTACTCTAATCAACACAATATTTCACTTTACATGTTTCAAAAGTAATTTTAAACTTTTATAAATATGATTAATATAATTAATATAGTTAAAATTTGAATAAAATTTATACAGTTTAGCTAATATTTATATCGATGTTAATATTTTCATAAAAACCCCCTAATATACATATGTACATATGAATGCCATATATATATTTATATACGATTACTTCTGGGTAGCTTCCACATAATCTGAATTTGAATATAGTATGTATATATACGTTTTATATGTATAATTGTTTCGCTCGTAAATATGTATGTACGTAGGTTAAGTATGTTAGTAAATTAAGTTTGTAATAGTTTAATTAGTTATTTGTTAGTCACAAAAGATTATATATGCAATTGTATTATTGCTAGTTTATGAGTCATACCGATCTCGCACTTTCTATTTAGTATATGTATGAATGAATGTAAGTATGTATGTACGTATGTTTTGTGCATATGTGCATGCTGATAGATGTTAGTATGATTTTCCATGTATATAATATAATTAAAAATAATTTTAAAAATAAGATTTTTGAAATAAAATCCAGCAAGTGTAGATTATTTTTTTTTTACAAATAGTTCAAAATTGTATTGCAAATAGAAATGTGTACCAGTTTTTCGTTAATTTTTAATACATGTAATTGTTATTATTATAGATTTTGTAATTGTGCTACTAGTTAGTATGTATGAAGTTGTTCTTTAAAAAAAGAAAATCGTCTTTAATGAAGAATTTTTTCCTGGGAGAAGCGTAAACAGAGCATCAACGGCAATATTAATATTAACAACTGAGGCGTGAGGGGTATTCAATTGTGGAAAAATAAACAATCGAATACCCGTGTTGTACTACCAGTGCATTAAGCGTAATTGATCTAGTATACGTTGTTTGAAAAATGTACCGAGCATACCAAATACGGTTGATATTGCTGCAATACCCATCATGGCCTGCATGATGCAGTGTATGCCGGATAAATCCTCTTCGTTCTGTTTTTGCCGGTGTCGTTGTCGATGATGACGTCGCTCTTCATATTCTCGCAATCTTTGGAGACGTTCGAGCTCTTCATCAAAATGTGGAATGATAGCCAAGTTTACAACTTCTGTCTTTGACAAAATTTCTTCGTTCATTGGCTCATTCGTGCCAACCATTTGTTGATTGCTGTTGATATCTGATTTTGTTTGCTGTTCCTTATTGCGTGAACGTTCATCAAGCATTGTGTTGTCACGGCTAAAGTCAAAATCATAGTTTCGTGTACGTGACGATGTGGGATAGTCGGCCAAATTGACTTTTGTAAGGAAATGCAATGTATTTGTATCTGAATTGTCCATATTAACTGCAGCCAATGACCCTGATGCTGCTTCTGTTGTCGTGGACGTGTCCTTAATCCTAAACTGTTTAAACTGATTCTTTTTTATACCCAAAACTTCAGACAGCGGTCGGTTTATCATGGGCAAAACCGAATCAGTTGGCCTAATAATAAAGGATCCGGTTGTGGGAACAGCATCGGGGGCTGGCAAAATTGCAGCCTGTTCTTCTGTCGTCATTTTGTTATCGTTATTATTCTTAATGTTATTAGTTGTTGAGATTTTAGGATCCGAATCTGAATCGTCCAATTCTGCCGTGGAATCAGCATCGCTGTACTCACTGCTACCACTAGAATCAATGTTAGCTGAACTACTACTAACAGTTTTTCTATCGGAATTAGAATCACCGAGCTTATTGAATTTGTGGCTTGTAAGATTTCGAATTGGTTCATATTTGGAGTTTTCAGAGTCGCCGCGGTAAAGCAGGGCAACCTTGCCATCGGGTGTTAAGACGGGTGTAATTTTCGGATGAGAAGACGCCAAACGATGACTGCTCTCTGGGTCTGGCGACAGGGCATCAAAGTCGGTGAACGATGTTGATTTTTTATCCACATTTTCGCTACCTTTATCATCAACCTGCGTTGGAGTTTGTTGATATACAATACCAACTTTACCCAAAGGCGTAGATATAATCTTTATTGCATCGTTTGTGTTTTTTCTAAAGTAACGACTATTTGATTTCCGTTTCGAGTTGAAGAACCCATCGCTATCATCGTCGTCATCGCTGTCGTCATCATTATCTTCATCATCGTTAGCAAAATTGCCACTGCTTTCTCGCAAATCAACTTCCGATGGAACAACTCCCACTTCACTATGAGCACTATCATCGGTAAACAACTTTTGTTGTTTTCGACGGAATGAATTCATATAATCAAATCTTAATCTATCATTTGTTTTAGCCTTATATGAGCTGCTTCCACTTCCTTCTCCATTTGAAAAATCGCTATTAATGTTAACACGAGAGCGTAGTTCTTTAGGTCGCTCTACGGCAATTGCTATACGTTCGTCATCTTCATCATAACCCATATCTTCTTCGTCGTCATCTGTTTTTGTTCTATCATTGATAGATAATTGCACTAATTCTTTTGCTTCTGGCAACAATTCTGGCTCGTCTTCTACGTCATCGTCCTCATATATATCGGAATACATATCATCTTCCTCGTCATCGTAATAGTCAGTACTTGGATTAAGTTGCATGCGTTCGTGATGCTCATCGCTTTCATAACTGTCTTCGTTGTCGTCGTTGTCTTCAGTCTCATATTCGTTTACATAATCATTAATATTTGCCCTCTGGCTGTTGATGTCTTTTTGAACATTTGCACTTGACGTTTCCCCTATTTTACTTTTAGTAAATAAATTAAATAGATTTTCTGTTACCTTAATAACATCACTAAAACTATTATTACTATTACTACTACTACTACTACTACTATTACTAATATTAATTTTATTAACATAATAACTATTATTTAAAATGGTGACATTTTTACGTTGTTCTAAATTTGTATCTAAGCTGCTGTTATGCAATTGGGTAGTCGCATCTTTCAGTCAGTAGCACTTCTTTGTGCATCCACATTTTCTTACAATGTCAAGATTTTTAATATACTTTCTATTATTGCTGCATACCATGCGCACCTGCAATATAGATTTATAAAAAAATATATGTATTAATTGCACGGTTTTACTTGGAAACATATTAAATAGTTATTCATTGAAATCTTATGTAATTTATATTTATGAATTTTATTCACTAAAAGATCAATTAAGGATGTATCGTTGTATAGTACAGCTGATCTAAGTACAAATGGTAATGAAACATCTAACATGGATACTCGCCAGATCTGTTTAACGCTTGTATGTATGTATGCACATATATTTTTACATACTCACATTGTATATAAATCAAAAAAGTGTTTCTGTAACCATCATCAAAACTATACCGATTATTAGATCGATTATTAACAATAACAGCCTTGGGTTTTAAAATGGTTTGTTCAAATGAGATTCAAAAATAAATCTATATAGTTTTCATAAAACTTTACATTGCTGGCTAATTATGTACATATGGCAATATATTAATTTCTAAATACATATATATATACATATATACATATGTATATGATTTTGTTATTATATTTATTTTCCTTATGGTTTTGAAACTGCTAGTCTTACATTCAGAACCGTGATTATAGAAAGGTTAAAGTTAGGATATATTTCAAAATTACATAATTAAAATATTTAGTTGAAATAGAATGTGAATGTAAACATAATTTTTGCTATCTAAATTAGAATAAATAAAATAAAAACTCACCTTTCGTCTTCGAACGATTTTTGCAGCACAACATTGATTACCGCATCCTCCCACACACTTTGCGTACTTGAGTGGCTGGCGAGATCTACAATCGTTTTCCGTATAATATTCTCGAACCTGCTCCTTTCGGCAAGTTGAAGCAACTGTAATATGATAATAGAAGTTTATTGCAAATTATGCTATTAATATGAAAATTCTTTCTATAAATAAATATGTATGTGTGACGTAAATGACATTTAAATGAAATAGTTTACAACATACACACAATATATGTATGTATGTATTTGTAAACGGAAGTGATTATACATATGTTAGGCATTATAAATTTGTCAGTATATACATTTTTTACACTCCTGCTTATCTCACATAATACATACAATTTTTAATGTTTTTATTGTAATTAAATTATTGTATTAATTTTTTATATAAGTTTGATAAATAGTTATACATTTATCAAACGATAGTTATACATTTAACAATACAATTTTAAACACTTTATTTGGTTTGTAATTTTGAAAGCTTGAATAAATATTCAAAATTGAAAATGTTTACTTTTAAATATATTAATATTTAGATATAAATTTTGAAAACAAAACTCAAAGTTAAATATTTCAATATGTATGTATATATCATTGACAAGATGATATACTTATGTATAGTAGGGTGGCCCCAAAATGGAAGTTGCTGATGTTCCTACCGGAAATGAAAATTTAGTTCTAAGATACCATTTCTGACGCCAATATTTGACGAGCTGGATCAAAGGATAAAAAAGTCCTTTTTAAGGACTTTATGACTTTTTTCGTATTTCTAATAATAAATAAACCATATGCAAATTTAGTATCATATGAAAGGTCTTTGAGAGACGATTTCAATGGCGTAACACAATTTTGTATACGACTCCAATTTTATTTTTCAGTTTAACTAAAATATTAACACAATTTATCCTAAACATCTACTTATTTGTTATGCTTGATTTGTAACTAACGGTGTTTACATTATTTTGCAATGTTTTGGTAGCGTACATAGGCTTCGATAAATTAAAAAAAATCGATCTCGATTGAATTTTGATAAACGGAAAAAACGAAAACAACTTTCGAGGATTAATTTTAATTTAATCGCTAATCTTTCACCTAAAGATTGGTACTAAATGTTTAACGCCCTTAACTAACCCAAAGATATTTATCATTTCAAATTTGTATATATACTTATTAAATAAGCAGTTGGTTAGTAGTGAATGAATAAATGAGTGATTAATACCAGTGTTTGTTGGGGGCTCGACGGTGGTAGTGCCCTCACCTTGATCACAATATCTTCCTCTTTGTCCGTGCTTACATTTGCATTGATAACCATCACGAGAGCTTAAATTGGGGACACAACGACTTCCTCGTCGACATTTGTTATTTTCGCATGGATCAACCTGGTAACAATATAACTTTTAATTATAACCATTTTATGAGCTTTAATAATAATACATTTACTTCTTTGCTAGTATGAGGCGTTTCGTCCATGAAATCTCGTTCATCATCAAGTTCAGTATTCTCTTCTTCTAACAATGCACATCCAGGAGTAATTTTTTGCTGTCGCGCTGCATTTTCAAAATCAACCAATTTGTGATTAATCCAGACTTCTTTCATGCATCCTTTAAAACTTGTCAGATTTCGAAGTTGCCAATTTTTGTACGCTTGTTGGGCTGGCTCAAAAGGTAAGCCACCTAAATAGAGCGGTGTTGTAAGTTTAAGGTATTCATTAGATCCATCATTAATAATAGACCTAGCAAGCCCTCGATCTACACGTAATGTAAAGTTCTTTTTAATAGAAAGGAGTTCAACTAAATGATATTTGCCGTCGGCCACCATTTCAAAGCTGTACATAGTTGAGACAGGATAATTTCCAACATCATAACTAACACGTATTCTACCATTAAAGAGTTCAACAGCCCAATGCGCATCTTGACCATCGTACATTAGAATGCCGTTCTGTTCAGTTGTGCTAAAAACAATTGTAACATTCGCCTCGGGTTTTGTTCGCAATGGTTCCATCTCCACAAATGAGTTATTATGTACAAAACTGATACTCGTTAAATATTCACACCATTTTCCAGTGTATCCAGGATGACACTTGCACAAATAATCAGATCCAGCTGGATTTGGTTGAAAACATACCCCGTGTTTGCACTCATGGTTTTGACAGGGTGAAGTTTGAGGATACATCATGGATACCATATTGTGACCCTCACAGTATTTTCCCGTAAAGTCTTCGGGACACATGCAAATATAATCGTTAATTCCGTCTATGCAAGTACCACCATTTTTACAAATGTGATTTTGGCAATCATCAATATTGTCGGTACAATTAATTCCATGAAAACCTGGCATACAATCGCATGAGTAATGTGTAAAGTGGTCTTGACATGTAGCACCATTGGCACATGGATTAAAATCTTCACTGCAAAACTTTATTTTAGTATCGCAAAATTCTCCTGAAATTGGGGAAAAAAAGTTAAATTAACATGTTAAAAAATTTTGTTTTTTGCAAAAAATTATATCAAAGAAGTCTCCCTCGGATTGCAAATAAATGTTTTTTATATACTTTTTCCATCGCTCATTTAATATTTTGTGGTAATTCAAAATAATAAAAATACTGAATTATACATTAGAAGCTTTTTTGGGTCGAACAATATTAAAAGAGATTTTGAAATAATATTTACATATACTATAGGAAAATTATTTCATTAATAAATTTTTTAATTTTTAAAATTTCCTTTGAACAAAATGTGCTAACTCATGATAGATCCTATAAAAAAAAATGTACTGATTTGTATGTATATATGTAAGAATAAATTAGTAAGATTATGAGATATATATTATTGAAAGAAAGTTTTTAATTTGTTCAACATTAGTTGTGTTTTGTTGCTATCAATGTGTTAACGCTTAAAGTTAGTAACAAAACGAACATTACCTGACTTGGCATCACTCCACAGAAGAAATCTGCTAAATCTTGAAATTATTTACATTTTCTTAAAAAAGGTTTTTTTATTTGATATTTTTTTTTTTTGATTTAAATTTTATTTTAAAATTTTTTTTTTTGTTTGACATAAACACATTAATATTTGTATTTTTATTTTTGAATTGGTAGCACTTTTATCGACGTTAAAATTAACTTGTATAATTTTACACGTTAACTCCTAACGTTTATAAATTTTAAATTTAGAGTGTGTGCCAATCGGTAACAATTTACTTGAAAATGTAAATTTTTGATAGATATGAGGTGAATAAAATTTTACTAGCTCATCGGGCTACATAAATTTTTGACAATTGAAAAGAAAAATTTGAAAATACAAAAAATAAAATATTTTATAATTTTAGTTTGTAATACATTTGTGATTGTAGAAATTTATTTTAAAAATAAAAAAATCAATAAAAGAGTTTCTTTTATTAAAATAAATGTAGATTTTCTTGTGAAATTAGTGACAATTGTCAAAATTTAATGTAATCAAAAAAGATTTCGTTTGGCACAGCAAATGTGATAATATTTTCCACCATAAGAAAATTTCATTTTACCATAGAACTTTGCTGCCGTTTGGCACACAGTCTTATATGAAATTGCCTTTGAACGTTAGCAACAAAACACAACTATTATGTAAATCATGATACAACCATAGAAAGGTAGAATCAGTAGGGAGAGTTGTCAATTCTTTGCCTTGTTAAGTCAAACAAAAAAGAACTAAAAAGAGAAAAACTTCAAAATCTTCAAATGAAAAACCACGAAAAATACCTTGAAATGTTTATTGAACGGCAGACGCAAACAGCATTCCACTCTTCTGTATCCTGTTTATGATTTTTATTGGTTTTGCGATCTTTTTTATTCAAATTATCCAATTTTATTTTTTTCACAAAAAATTTTTCAATAATTTTTATTTCATGTTTTTTTTATATTTTTTAATTTTCTTTTTTGTGACAATTCAAGGCATGTAAAATTGAGAACGTACTTTTCTATTGATTCTACCTTATTATTGTTTTATTATGATGTAAATTATTTTTTTTTTGCTCTCCTGAAAACCAGAGTTTAAATATTAGTAGATGCTTTTATATTTTTATTTTTGACTTTGCAATAAATATGCATTTACCTCATATTTAAAAATATGCATATTTAAAAAATGGTTCTGTTCAAAATATTTCTAGTATTTTTGCTAAAAATATTTACCCATACAAACTATTGCATATTACAGCTTACAGACAAATATAAAATGTTTTCACTTACAATATATTACGCAGCAACTCGCTAACATATTTATAATACCCACATATATTTCATATGGCTTGCCTATAATATTAAAATATTTTCCTACACAAATTATTCGCAGTCAACAATATTGAAGCCATGCGAGCAGTAATATACGAACATGAAATGTACGCAAGCAGAGCATATATGTGCCGACGAAAACACGAAACAAAACGATAGTCGCGACTATCAGGTTACAATATTTTTACTATCAAACTTAAATATTATTTACTATAGGAAATGACTTATGGTCTAAAATTTAACATTTCATGTTGAACTTGAAAAATTATAAAATGTGAAAAATGTATGCAAGATATAACCAAATTTTATTTAGAAAATAATTGAAAACGTTTATATCTATGTATGTTTTATGTATATTATGGGAAAAATGTATGCATGAAATAACCAAATTTTAATTAGAAAATTTTTGAATTGAATTATTGAATGTATGTATTTATTAAATTTGTGTTTAATTTTTATGTGGAGTATTAAAATGTATGTATTTGTATTGATTGTAATATAATTAGAAAAAAATTATATAAATACTTAGAGGATCATATGAATGTAAAAATATATTCAAATATGTATATATGTAAAAAATTGTTTTTACAGGCTATATTTAAACATATTGTTTGTAACAGGATGACAATAAGTTTGTAAACAGGTAGTAATGCATTAGTAGTGTCTATGAAATGATCAATAATGAAGGAAATTATAGGTATTTTAGAAATTTGTAACAGGATGGCAAAAAATTAAGAGGGGACATAAAAAGTTGTTTTTGTAATTTTACATTGTGAAAGGTTAAAACAACAAAAATGTATGAGTGTATTACATACATATACAAGTATGTTTTTCATATGCATGTGTCACATTTCTATAAATTATTATTACATACACTCAATTATCTTACAATAATGAATGAACAGGCGCGAAGAAAAAAATATATAGGTGTTAATAAATTTGCATATGCCATTGCCAACCTTTTGAATTTGCAAGAGAGAGACTAAATAATAATGATATTTCTTTCCTCTTCTCCCCACCACAAATTCAAGTAAAGCAAAAAAAAAGGATCTTGCGTAAACCATCGTTAAGGAATGTGCGTAAAATGATAAAGTAGGAAAGAGAATTTCTACTACGTACATATCTTCTTCCCTCCACCAATTCAGGGAAAAAATGACCTATCGTAATCCACCGTTATGGAATGTGCGTGAAAAGTAGGAAAGAAAAGTGCTGTTACAGGTCATTTTTATGACGAATGTGTTTTTTGTTATTGTTTCACACATACTTACATACATACATATGTATATACAAAACCAGATATAAATGGTGTTGCATATTTGAATACATTTTTACATTCATATGATCCTCTAAGTATTTATATAATTTTTTTCTAATTATATTACAATCAATACAAATACATACATTTTAATACTCCACATAAAAATTAAACATAAATTTAATAAATACATACATTCAATAATTCAATTCAAAAATTTTCTAATAAAAATTTGGTTATTTTATGCATACATTTTTCCCATAATATACATAAAACATACATAGATATAAACGTTTTCAATTATTTTCTAAATAAAATTTGGTTATATCTTGCATACATTTTTCACATTTTATAATTTTTCAAGTTCAACATGAAATGTTAAATTTTAGACCATAAGTCATTTCCTATAGTAAATAATATTTAAGTTTGATAGTAAAAATATTGTAACCTGATAGTCGCGACTATCGTTTTGTTTCGTGTTTTCGTCGGCACATATATGCTCTGCTTGCGTACATTTCATGTTCGTATATTACTGCTTGCATGGCTTCAATATTGTTGACTTCGAATAATTTGTGTAGGAAAATATTTTAATATTATAGGCAAGCCATATGAAATATATGTGGGTATTATAAATATGTTAGCGAGTTGCTGCGTAATATATTGTATGTGAAAACATTTTATATTTGTCTGTAAGCTGTAATATGCAATAGTTTGTATTGGTAAATATTTTTAGCAAAAATACTAGAAATATTTCGAATGGGAGCAATTAAATATATTATATTCATAAAATATATTTATATTTTAATATTACATACGTATGCATAGGAGAAAATATGCATTTTGGTTACTAATATATTAGTAATTTTAATCACTGCTGAAAACTAAACTTTTTTGAGTTAGCACTTTTTGAATAAAGTGTCTCATTTGAAATGATGCCAGAACTATAAAATTTTAAATTGTATTTTACAGAAAAATATCGTTTAAATAAAAAAATATAATTTGTTGAAAATGTTAAATGAATTATAAAATACTGTTACTTTTATAATAACCACAACCTCCAAAAAGGCATGATTGGGCCAAAATAGGAGTCCTAAGGCTAAGATATGGTTTTTATGGTTTTAACATGTTCAAGATCGGTTCACATTTGATCCAAATAGAGTTCCTTTCAGAAAATTACTAAGTTTTTTAACTGATTTTTAAATACTAGCATATTGATACAATTAGACCTAAACGTGTTTCGAAATTTTTATGGTAATGCTGAGGGAGACATTTAATTAATCAATTGTTAATACTTCCAAAGTGTTTAAAAAAGTTTTTACAATATACATATTTATGTATATGAAAATATACTTACCGGTGAATCCTGGTTGGCATTCACACGTATATGATTCAATGCCATCAATGCAGGTTGCGTTATTTTGACACTTTATTGAGCCTAAACAATCGTCTATGTTAGTTTCACAGCGAGCTCCCGTATAACCAGGGGCACATTGACAACTAAAACGGCCTTCCTCTAAAACGGTGCAGGTTGCATTGTTTCTACATGGATTTCCGTAGCAAGCATCAATCATAAATTCACAATGTTTGCCATGAAAACCAGGCTGGCAGAGGCATTGATAATCCCTTTGGGGTAAGGATACACATTTTGCTTTATTTTGACAAGGATAAGTAAAACAGGCATCGCATTTGGCCAATATATCATTATTAACTTTGCCTTTACACACAAAATTGTGGGATGGTGTTGAAAGAATAAGTTTATCTTTCATATATTCCGGCTCTGAGCATCTCGCAATTCCTGGCTCGACATAGTCAAGTTTTATCCAATCTGAGAACCACTTGAGGGAACAGTCACAGTACAATGGATTGTTACCAAGAGCACTAAAAATAAAGGTTCCATATAATAAATACTTACTGCCGGTTCTCACAGGGAAACTTTTTTGGGGAACTTTTGATTTTTGTGTGTGAGAGAAAGAGAAAGAAATATCAACCATCTCTTTCTCTCACATACAAATGGAAAGTTTCCCAAAAAAAGTTTCTCTGTGTGAACCGGCACTTAGACTACGGTTCAGAGTTATACGTACATATGAGTCAAAGATTTAAGGTCTTGAAAAGAACCTTCTGGCATCATTGAAATTTGATTTCCATGTAAAGAAAGTACACGCAGATTGCTTAGTCCAGCTAACGCATTTCGTTGTAAACATTGTAAATTGTTGTACGATATTATTCTAAAAATATAATTTAAAATCTTAATGTGAACAATTTTTCTTAAATAATCCATTTGTACTTACAATGTGGAAAGCTTTGTAAGGTTGGCAAAAGTGTAGTCCGAAAGCATGGTTATCTGATTGTTACTCAAGTCTCTAAAAAAAGAAAATCTTATTAGTTTCGATTTCAAATATTTATATCAGGAATGGAATTTTGTTGGATACTTACAACCGGGCAAGTGATTTCAAATGACGTATACGATCTTGGTGTATCATTGTTATTTCATTTGACTCTAGATACAGCTCAGATGTTTCACTTGGTAATCCTCGAGGAATTTCTGTTAAATTATTACGAGAGCATCGTACAACGGTGCCAGTGCATGTACACATGGGAGGGCAATAGTCTTCTCCCAAGCACCCGTCGTTATTATCAGATGTGCATTTGAACTCATTGTGTGGCAAATCCTTTATTTGTACATCGCGTACTTTAGAAGGCGCTACGCATCGTGCAGCTCCACCGTTCAACGCCTTCTTACGCAGCCAATCAGAAAACCATGCCAAATGACAGTTACAATTAAAAGGATTTGAAGCCAAATTGCTAAAATAAAAAGTTATTTAATAAACAATTTACAAAATGAGAAGAGTTTAATCTTGGTATAAAAATTACATACACAAATATTATTTGTATTGTCTGATGTAAATTTTGGCATAAAGTAATACTATTTATCTGGATGTATAGATAAAAGCGAGATAAAATGAAAACGTGAATGTAAAATGTACTTCAGATGATACAAAGAAATAACATTGGTAGAATGTTTTTTTGGGGTTTAACTTTTTGCAATTTTTGCAAAATATCACAAATACCATAGGAAGTCCTTATAGGGCACGAAAAGATGTTAAGGAATATGTTTTTTCGCTATAGTGGAAAAAGTTCCAGCACTAAACGAGAATAGTAATCTTAAAGAAAAAATTGTGCTTTACAGTCTTGTTATGGATTTTCTATAATAAATCGCGATATTTCATATTTTCGATAAGATTATGTATATATTTACATAAAAATTATTAAAATATTTTTAAAAAAATTACGAACAAAAGCAATAGGTTTCTCTCCGGGAAGTTTTTTCACCAAATTGACTTAAATAATAGATTTTTATTACAGTATTCGCTATAATATAGTGTTGAGGTATTTTGCCTCCCCAAAAAAGTAATAACTCTCATGTACATATATATTACCAGCAATTATTTGATTTGTCATCATAAAAAAGGACATAAGATCTGATTAACAAAACTGATGCAAATGTAATCTAATTAAACGTGTCAATGTGTGATTTTTTTACAAAATGCATTACATATGGGACATATCGAACAAAAATAAAAACTTTTTCCATTAAAATCTATATAAATAAAAATCAATTGTCGTTCGTTGGTAATTGCATCAGTTGAGAACGGCTAGACCGATTTTGACAATTTTTTTACTGAAATGTTCGTCATAGTCCAACTTAGGTTTTTACGGAAAGAAAAATTGACAACGCCCACTTTTACGCACACTTTTTTCGATTTATCTAAAATCGGAAAACGGCTGCACCGATTTGGCTAAATTTTTTATCTAAATGGTCGTAGTAATCTAATTTAAGTTTTTACTGAAAGAAAAATTTACCACGCCCACTTTTTTCGATTTATCTAAAATCGGAAAACGGCTGCACCGATTTGGCTAAATTTTTTAAAACATGTTCGTAGTAATCAAATTTAAAGTTTTACTGAAAGAATAATTGACCACGCCCACTTTTAAGCTCAATTTTTTCGATTTATCTAAAATCACAAATCGAACATAAACATTTTTTCTAATTTGGACAGGACAACGTCTGTCGGGCCAGCTAGTTTTTAATATTTCATTCGACGAGTTCTGGTGATTTTGTATGATATTAGAATTTTATAAAATATTGTATTTTCTGTTGAAAATTTGACACTAAGTAATTAACAAATATCATATCATAAGATAATGATGACAAGAAATATAATAAATTTAAAACATCTTAGTTGTGTGGTGGAAATTCAATATAACTGATCTCATATAGGTGTAGTCATACTCAATAGTCAGTATGACTACACACTATTTTGTACACAAAAGATTCAATTAATTCACATCTTCTTGGAAAGTTATATTTAGCCGAATGTAATGTAATTGTCTTATACATTAAAGAAAAAATTATATTAAAAACTTAGTCGGCTGGAACAAAATTTAATTTAAAATTTCTTTTGCCATATTGGTTAATAAAAAACATTTTAAAACAAGATGTTAAAAAACCAGTGCATATAGAACATATTTTACATTAACTATTTATAATAAATGAAATCTCAATTAAATGTGTACACGATGCTAATGCGTCTGTGGCCTCTTCTAATTGAGTTTATTGATTTAAGTGCCATCGTTTACAAACATTCTGAAATACATCCACATTTCTTACGTATGTACATATATATAAAACTTTGATTTATTTTGTTTGTTCGAACACACGTTGGATGCCATTTAGCCCATCAAAATTTACTTAAAAAACAATCAAAAGTAGCAATAAAACCTATTAACCTCAATTTAATTCTGTTAAAGACTCTCACACAGTTCCAATTGTTTGTGCTTTGCAAGAACCCAGCAGTTCATGAGATTTGTTGCGTGTTGAAAAATCGGGAACACAGCGTTTACCCACGTTGCCCAAATATACATATTATAAATTTTCATAAAATATTTCCTTTATAAACGTCTGATAAAAACGGTATGCAAAACAAAAAACTTTATATAAGATTCATGTTTGATTCAATGTAACGATTAAAATTGTACGATTATCATAAGCGGAAGAAAAAATATTGATGTAATGTAAAGTTGTCTAAATTTTTAAACTGCTGGGTATTAGTTAGAATTACATATTTACCTGGCATGTCCTTATACGGTAATATATACACATTTATGTGAATATGTATGTATAAGCACAAAGATATGTTCATGTATCAGTTGATGCTCATTTTTCAATTAACCAATTTTTTAATGAATATTATGATTAACACGTTCAATTTATCAAATGCATTTACAAGCTCAAAAGCAGACACACATATAAAAATTTGATTTTAATTTAAAGAATACATTGAATACTTACAGTGTGGTTAGCGACGTTAGAAATTCAAATGATCCAGGCATTACACACGATATTTGATTGTCGTATAAGTTTCTGTAATTATAATTAGATTAATTAAGTGAGTATGTACATACATTAAATATATTTTGATTTTAAAGATTAATTAAATGTAAAATATGAGTCAATTGGTTAACATCTTGAATTCTTTAAAAACGTTTCCGTATAGATACATTTATACTTAATACATATTAAAGAAAAAGTTGTTAGCTACTTTCTATAAAAATTACTTATATTACTTAATTACTGTAAATTTTAACCTATGGAAATTGTAATGAATTTTTAGTACTCAAGGCGGTTCTACTATATTGTTGGAACAATTTAAAAAGGTTCCGAAATAGTATCAAACAACTAATAAAAAAAAATTTTGTCTCTTTTTCGCATTTTTATCCCCTCCTGGTCTAACTTTCCAAAAATAATATAATCAATGTCAGACATCTATCTTTGTTTCAAATTTCTAGAAAATCGTTCCATCCATTTCTCAAAAAAGATTTAAAAAATATTGCTGTTTTTCTCCCTTTCTCCCCATTTTTATCCCTTTTTGGACAAACTTTCAAAAATAATATAACCTATCGACGCTATCAGACCGACTATCTATGTCCCAAATTTCAATCGTTCCAGCTGTTTATGCTGGGTTTTCGCATACACTTTAATAGGCGACAAAAACTAAAACTTAAAAACGTTCTAAATCATTTTTTTCTAAAAAATCGCATTTCAGTAATTAATGGTTGGCCGTCCCTGTGACAAAAATTAAAAAAAAACAAGAGTGCTGTATTCGGCTCTGTGGAATCTTATGTTATACTATACAGGAAAACAAAATATATGCTCTGAAAAACAGTTTTAAGCGCATTAAAAATATGTTAAATTCAGAGAATATATTGTTACGAAATTGTATTTGTATTAAAACTTAACGGTTTTTATCGGACAGTTTAAATACAGCGGTTTCACGGTTTAACGAATTCTCAGTTTAGCCAATTCGGAATTTAATGTACCGACAAATTTTTTCATTGAGTACCTTATATTACGAATTAATGAGTAAAGTTTGTACTCGATATAACGAATTTCAAAAAAAAAAAATATAAAAAGTGGTGAATACAAATACTAAAAGAGCACTAAACTTCATAATTATCCAAATGCCATATATGATTTAAAAAATAAACTTCCTACCATCAATTACCGAATTTTTATCATTAACTTATAGAAAAGTTATTATTCAGTTCAACGAATTTTTCATTTTTACGAATGGGTCTGATAAACATATATTTCATTAAACCGGAAAAACACTGTATTCATTATGATTATAAACATTTCTTTTTAAGAAGTATCTAAACGAACGCTAAAATAACATTTCGTATGGCAACACTAAGTGAGAGTGCTTTTAAAGGGCCCTTCACACGGTCACACTTTACGTACGACAAATCTAATGAAAAAGTAAATTGAAATTCCATCCGTATGACAAAAAAGAGAATAAAAGTCGTATGATTTATATTTTTTGTGTTTACACGATTGGTATAAAACAATAATAAAGTAAGACGGAACAGCTGTTTCACTTTTTTTGTATGTGTTTACATAAAAATACATCCCTGATCTAATGCGACTTGCTTGTTTTTTGAATCATTTCAAAAAATGAAGAGAGCCATACGACTGTCAAATTTTCCATCCGTATTTTCTCTCAATGTGTGATGGTTTCATTACATATTGCGTTTAGACGTTCTCTTCTACACAAAATTTTGACAGATCATATTACTTGTGTGCTCGTGTGAAGGGGGCTTAATAAACACAGACTGATCATTATATAAGCAGAGCTTTTAAGAATGTGACCGTATCCGGAAGGTGTCGCTAGAATGTCCAGGAAATATCTACAAAATTATAATCTGATGTAAATAGCGCCGGCAAGAAACCAAATGAGCCAGTCTGTAATAAATCGTCATTGAGTAAAGTAATAAAGTTTTATGAAAGTGTTTGTGTATAAAACTTTCTAAATAAAGAGTTGTTATTTTTAAACTAATTGAAGCTTTTATTTGCAATAAAAATAATCTGGTAAATTTCAATTTGTATTAAGAAAAATATCAATAACGTAGTCAACTGTTAACGGATTTTTAAAAACAAAGCTGCGTTTTACTCATGAATACATAAGTTCCTATATAAAATACTGTATAAAAATCTCCAAACTTGGAAAACGGTGTAAAACTAAAATCAAATGTATGTAAATATGTTTGATGATGAAATTCACTCATATTTCTACAGGTTATTTAAACATCATATATGTATGTATTTGTCAGTATAAAGGCCTTTGCTTCTTTTTTCTAAATCCGTTGAGAAACTTAAAATCAAGTGCTTAAAGGTACAAAACTTAATTTTTTACACATATCTGAAGATTTTGGAGTCGTTTGGCAAATTTATAAAACAGATTTTTGTACCTTTCCGAAAAATGATATCACTTAACAGGTATTTATTATTGTCGCATAGTGTAATGAATTAGCGAAAATTAAATTGTACTTACAAGGTTTTAAGTTGATGTAAACCGAAAAACATTTTGTTCGAAATTTCTTTTATTTTGTTCTCGGCTAGTTGAAGATCTTGAATCCGGGACGCTCCCTCAAAGGCATTTGTTTCGATAGCTATAATTTGATTTCGCTTCAAATCTAACTTTATCAAATGTGGTAGACGTCCAAACAATCCATCAGACTTAATTCTTCCCAATTCGTTGTCATTAAGTAGCCTAAAATTATACAATATTTTGAAATACCAAGTATTTATGTAAGTATTAGCTAATTTAAAGTTATATATATTTACATACATGCACATGTATGTATAAACTACATACAATAATTGTTTTTAAATAACTTACAACTCTGTAGTATGTAATGGAATATCGCGTGGAATTTCTTTTAGGCCACGGCCAGAGCAATCAACAACTGTACCATCACACTGGCACATTGAAGGGCAATCTGTTTCCATGCGACACTCTCCAGAAAGTTTTATTCTCATCTCATCCCAAGAACCTAAAAGGGAATTTATTTCGTATTAATTATGATTTCTTTTGCAGATTTGTTTCAAAATCGGGAGCTTCCATTTTCACTTACACTTGAATTTTTCATCTCGTAAGGTTTCAATCCGTCGACGATGCATACGTTTTGGCGATTCACATCGAGCACCACTTGTTTCAATAGGATTTTTGTGCAAGTAGTCGGCTAACCATCTAAGATTGCAATCGCATACAAAAGGATTTTTTGCTAAGTGCCTGTGCATATATAAATATTAGATTATTATTTAATATAATATTTAAGTTGAAAAATGAAAGTCGTAAAAGAGTTTAAGCAACTATTCTATTAAATTTGAATATACATATGTATAATATTTTTCAGAAACATTTTTTCTACATTATCTGTAATAAGTATTTTTATCCATAGCAATATGTTCCAAAAAAAATTATCTTTGCAAATTTTAAATTTTTAATGTACAAGTTTCTATTATATTAAATTTCTGGGGATAGAATCTGACATTTTGAGTCAGATTTGTAATCGCAAAATTGTTATTATTATTTATTTAAACAAACATTTCTATAGAATATTATTAAATTATTTGAATATGCAACTATTCCTTTATATTGCATAACCGTAACGTGACAAGACGTTGCGCCAAAAGCAGATTATCCCTCTTTTTAAAATTTGATCCATCTAAAATTTTGTCAAAAAAACCCAACTTTATGTTACTTCAGAACGGGGAATTTTCAAATTGTACAAAACAGCATTAAATATTATACTTTAGTCTATAGACAATGACTAAAAAAGTCTACAGACTGGAGAAAAGACTAGTATATATACTATAGAAAGGACTAGCCTATACATTAGAGAAAAGACAAGTCTATAGTCTAGACTATAGAGTAGACAATAGACTATTTTATGCACTAGACAATAGTCTAGTCTTAGACCATAGAAAAGTCAATTTTAATAAAAAATCAATATTTGTTGATATATTGCATAACAGAAATATTTTAGTATGTTTTTAATTAATTTCTGAGAGGCAAATATGGAGAATTATTCTCAATGTACTTTTTTTAGAAAAATAAAAATTGTGATTATTTTATTGCCAAAATCCGAAATTCTGTTTATATTGTCCTGCGGTAAATCTCTTATAGTGCACACAGAAAACAGATCGATTGGAAATCGTTTACCATGATTAATATTTAGTTAAATTTATTATAATTGTATCGCTGTTATTGAAAAACTGTATAATTAACTGATTTTCTGTATTCAGTATTAAAAGTCCATATTAATATTCGAATTGTGGTTTTTACGATTTCCAAATCAATAATTTGAACTGAATTGTATCGGTTATAAAATTCATTTGTGAATTCAATAAATGCAACTGACTTTTATTTATGATTAAAACATAAGAACATCAAATATTAGTCGCTGTAACCGTAAAACAGTAGAAAGTAAAAAATTATTAAAAATTTAATTACGGTTAAAAGAACCAAATTCGATGTTCACAAACGATTAATTAGTAATTGTAGTTGACGTTTACAAAAAATAAATATAATAAAATGAATTTATAATTTAAAAAAACCTAATTACATTTGAGGATAAATTAATGCTGAAACTCGGATAAAACAAGGTAATGTTTAGAATATTTTATATATTATCGCTTGTATTTATAAAAAAATCTTATTTTGCTTTTAATGCACTCAATAGTTAAAGCACACTTTAGCCTTAAAAACCATTAATAAAATTATGATATTCATAAACAAATAATAAACGTTTATTAACTATTGTGCTGATTTATGTTTAAGTTGGCAGCACTGTACAATATGGCTGTCATTTTATGTGTTAGTGTTGCGTACAATTAGGATAAAATATTCGTTGATTCGGTTTTCTTAATTTCATATTTTTGTTTATAATAGATTTTTGACAATAAAAACAAACTTTTAAGAAAAATAAATATATATATGGCTTTAATAAATGTCTATTTAGTTCAGATGTATAAATATAACATATAATTTCTAATTATTATTAAAAGTATCCGAATAACGGATATTTTGCGACAAAATATACATCACTATGACACATTTTCTTATTTTTACTTATTTTCCTTGTAATTTTTGATAAATTTTTGCAAATATTGATAAATTTCTTTGATATTTGACTAATTTTAATGCCGGCGAATATATTTTGCATTAGTATAACACTAATCAATATAATTTACATGGTTAATTACTTTATGGCATTATATTTAACCAACAAACTTTGAAAAAGCCAAAACAAATGATTTTGTTCATCATTTGGTTGACAGACGGGCATTTCCAAATTGCCTAAAAATAGTGCTGGACAATTGGAATATTGTCAAATATTCATGCATTAATCCAATAATGCCTAGATTTGAGTTTTTTCCTCAAAATATAATCGTTTAAAAATTTTCTGGGATTTTATTTACAAATTTGTAAACGTTAAAATTAGAATTTTTAGATTTTATTTTAAAATAAACCATAATTACTTTTCGCAATCAACCTAAAATTACCGGAAAAACTTTATCTGAGAAAAAAATTGTTAAAAATCAAGTTATTGTTGGCTTAAAGAAGGGTCGAGCCTACAATAAAATTCTTCTAATTGTCAATGGTTTATTGAAGGTGTTTTAAGCTATTTCACGTTTATAAATACGATTTTCCTGAATTTTGCCTAAAATTGTTTAATAAACCTAAAATAAGTTTTTATAAATACAGCCGTATATCTTTTAATATATTTTGTGTTATTTTTCTATAATTTTTAATAATTTTACAGCCGCAGAAAGGCGTGGAAAGATAGCGTTCCTTTGGAAATGTTGGACAGAATGAAGAGTAAAATCCCTGGTACATAAACGCTATGTTTATTAACATCAAAATCTTAAAACTAAAGGGGAGAAGTTGTTATTTTATATTTATAAGTTTTATAAGTTTAAACATATTCATATTTTTGTAAATATTTTAAACAAAATAAAATGTATTTTAAAATACACATAATCCACAAATTGGTTTTCAATAAATAATATTTCAGTTGCAAATACCAATAATTTCAACCCAGATTACCGAATAAAAAATACAAATAGTTGTGCACACCGTATATTCAGTAATAGCAACCGAATTTTACAATAATAGCAACCGAATTTTACAATAATAACAATCGAATTTTAGGATAGTTGTGAGAACCGACTGAATTCGATTTGAAACAAATTCGGTTATCACAACGAATCTGTGTGATATCTGTGTGATATCTCTGAAGATTGATTTCCACAAGTAATCAACCGACTTCATTATTATTAAATAAAACTTACTAACAAGCAGATACATACTTACAAACATTGCATAAGTACTTACTTACATTAAGGATTATTGAATATTACTTACAGTGTTTGAATACTCTTCATTGCATCAAAAGTTCCATTTGCTAAAGTCTGAATGTTGTTATCATATAATGAAAGTAAACTCAGACTGTGCAGGTCTCGGAATGCATCCTTACGTATGCAGGAAATTTCATTGGCGTTAAGAAGTAGCAATTGAAGGGATGTAAGTCCCTTGAAAACACCAGATGGTAAATCCTTAATTTTGTTACCATAGAGAACACTAAACAGTAAACATAATTTATTATATTATTTTTGGGCTCTTTAATGAACAGCTAAAACCGATGTAATATTTTTTATAAATAGTACTTACAGTGTTGTTAATGATTTTAAACCGCTTAATGCATCGTGTGATATTCTTGAGATATTATTATTGGATAAGTCAATTCGCCGTAAACGTCTAAAATTCGCAAAAGCTTTTGAAGGTAGTTCCGTAATAAAATTTTGCTCCAAACGTCTACATATAATTTAAACAAGATGTTATTAACAATTTAATTTCATACGCACTTTTACTCAGTGTTACTTACAATTCTGTTGTGTCGTCTGGTAATGTTGCTGGAACACTAGTGAGACTTTTTTCCCGACAGTCCACTATTCCGTCTGCACATCGGCATGGATGAGGGCAACTATTTTCAAGGCCACATTCCAAAGGTGCATTTTCAGTAAGGCCTGATTTTTAATAGAATTTTTTAAAAATGTTTTGATTTTAATGGAAAAGTAGGGTTTACCTGAACATTTAAATTCTTGATCATGTAAATCTGCAACGTTTTGACCCTTTAGTTGTGATGGTGATTGGCATCTTGTGTATGGTGCCAACCGTGGTGCACCGCGTAAAAATCGCGACAGCCATGATAGATGACAATCACAGGATAATGGATTGTCCGATAACCGTAATGCTCGCAGTCTGCTCAACCCACTGAATATGTTGTGAGGTAATGTTGTCAGATTATTATTGTTGAGAGTGCTAAGAAGTAAATAAAAATAAAGTAAATATGTATGTAATTACATTATAAAAAATGGATAAATATTAAGTAAGAAAGCTAGTTTATTTATTAACATATAGGTAAGTAAATGGAATTTTATTTAAACTTACAGTATCTCAAGATCAACCAGACCCTTGAATGCATGTTCATCCATACAGGTTATTTGGTTATTATCAATTTGTAGGCTTCGCAAAGATTGTGCTCCCTTAAAAACTCGGCGGCCAACCGTGGTAATTGCATTGTGTGATATGTCTCTATTCAAATTGGAATGTTAAATAAACAAATATATATATGTACTTATGTTTATTAAATAAATAATTTTCAATAGTATTAAATTAGATTAAATTATAGGATTAAAAAACAAGCAAAATAAGTAAGCGAAATGTTACCACTTCTAAGATTAATTCGTGAAAATATTTTTAAAGTATTAAAGTTAAATTATGTTTTACTTTATGAAAAATCATGCTTATACAAGTAAAAGTATCTAATTCTTCAATATCTAGAAAATGTTCAATTAAGATTGTTTTTGGACTAAAACTAAATTAAAAACAATTAACCGTTTTAACAAAATATATCAACCTCATGCTTATATGTTTAATAATTATAATCGATCTAATATTAACTGTGTCGAAATATATAAGTGTAACGTAACTAAAATTTTATACCTTACACCACTATAGTGGGGAGTATATTTATATCGGCTCAGAATAATTTTCTTAGTTTTAGCCTTGCCTATTCGTCAGTACTTTGTCCGTCCATGAAGACCTTGTAATCAAGATAATTCTATGAAATTTGTTACACGTAATACATTTGGACCAAGAATGACCCCTATTGATTTTGGTTTATTCGGTACATTTCGAGCTCATAACTATGTTAAATATGAATGTATCTTCGCCAACATGTGATCAGCTCTGTTTTATATGGTACATAATTAACCCTACCCACATATCATCTCTTACACAAAATCAGTTTATTGTCAATAACTCATTCCAAATGATGGTAAATTCGATAAAGATTTATAAAAATTAGATTTGTTTTTAAAAAATAAACACAGATAGTATGTAATTAGCTGAATTTTAAGTAAGGTAAGTTTTATGAAATCTAGGTGAAATAATGGGCCGATTTCAACCATTTTCAATAGGTTTCGTCCTTGAGCCGAAATACAAGACATAGAAAGTGAATCAGAGTTGATCGGTTATCGGTTACAAACATCAGCACAAATGTATAATACCCTCCCCACTATAGCTGTGTAGGGTATATACTGAAATGCAATATTGTTACCACATGATTTGCAAAATAATCGATAGGATAGGAAAAACGTTGTCCTATTTAGATAAAAACCTGTTGAAAATGATTTTAAGTTGCATTTAAATTTCATGACATGAAATTCAAAAAACCATTTATAGTTTTAGAATTACGAGTCTGTTTTGAAAATTTTCAAGAACTATTAAACGAAATCTTAAATTTACAAAAGTACAGAAAATTTTATATTTTCACAACCCTTTTCTCAACATTACTTAGCGAAACGAACTAACTTTTATGTCTATATGTCTATACGAAGAAATGAAAAACTATAATTTGTTGAATTCATAAATCAGTATATATCTATATATGTATGTATATATTTTTCATTACTTACAATCGCAAAAGACTCGCTGAACTTGTAACAAAGTTATCAGGTATTGCCTTTAGTCGATTGTTGTTAAGGCGTCTGCATAAAGATGTTGTGTTGTAGTAACAATAGTAATTTATAGTGTGAAGTGTTGATTGTTCATTCCATTTACGAACATGGAATTAAGAAAAATAATAAAAACAATTAAAATTAAAAAAAAATGCATAACATAAGTATAATAAATTAAACTAAATGAAATTAAGAAGTTCGTCATTCATAACTTAAATATGTAGTGTTAAAAACTATTTGAAACAATTAAAGTATAAAATATATATATTTTTGTCAATGTTAATAACGGTAGTAGGTCGTCAACACATTCATTGAGGTACACATGAGTTCCAGTAGCCACATGGTACGTTTAATACTACAAGCCGACAGAATTTTGATAGGTATTATAAAATCCTATTATAAAATATTTATATATCGTCACCTAAAACGCAAACGGCTCTATCTAACATTTTCAAAATTTTGCAGGAGAAGTTAAAAACTATTTAAATAGAAAAGTTTGTTTCTATCATTCCGATTAATTTGTAGTAAATAAACAAATTGTTTAATAGTGAAGCCTAACATTTGTTATGATAGTTGACAATGGTGTATATAAAAATGGATAAATTGGACTTATTACCTTTAATATTTATTTAATAAAATCGATAATTTTTGTCGGATTAGTCCAATTTTTGGTGTGGACATTTGTTTTGATGCAGTACATTAGAATCAACAATAAAATCGATTTTGAATTTTTAGTTAGTTAGGGCCGTTTGTGTTTCAGGTGACAATATGTATGTATGTACTTGATTTTGGTTATTTTGAAAGGAGGATGCACGTTACATACATATAACAGTTCAAGTCCATGTGAAAGGGATTAAATAATCGTTTTTTGTCGTTTGACTCTAAAATACACTATTTCCAAAATCGTGTTACATTTTTGTCAATATATATGGTATATATCAAAGTATAACAAGTAGTCCGACTCTTTGACAGCAGTACCTAACTCTAAGCATGTGTTAGTGAAAAAGTACCTAACTCTAAATATGTGTTAGTAACAAAAATGTATTTGTATTGGTGCATTCTAAACATGCAGAGTTTTTAAATTTGTTTTAATTTTCAATACCAAAAATTTAAACTCTGTTTGTAAAATAAAATTCAACAACAACAAAAATGAAATGTCAATAATTAAAAAAAAATGTTTTCCATTTCAAGAAAATTAAACAAAATTCTAAATCAAAAGTGCGTTAAAACTATTTTAAAAAATTGCATTTTTTTGTGGACAACTGCAATTCCGCGTACGATCCTTGAAAGTGGCCAAAAAGTAAGTTAAATATTTGAGAGTTTTGACAAGTTTAAATTTTTCACAAGAGAGTCGAATTCACACTGCACTTGTAGATGTAAAGAGTAATTTCCTATATATGTGAGAGTCGGACTACTTGTTATACTTTGGTATACATATTGACAAATATACCAGGTTTTTTGTTGATACAAATTCCAAAAGGGTATACAAATATTCGTTGTTATGTCGTATGATGTTATCCAAAATATTTTGGGTAAAGAGTTGTCCGTTCGCGAGCTGCACAGTTTTCGTGAAAATATCCTAAGGGTGCCTGGTTTTACTTTTTATGACAGTTTCCAAAATATTTTCAGCCGACCGATAGCTATTCGTGAACTGTTTAATCTAAGTATAATTTTTATAAGAAAATAAAATAAATTTCGCAGTTGAAAGGATCTAGTTTTTTATGTTGTTCGATTATCCTTTAAACACTTTTATTTTAATAAGTAATTTATACGTATATGTAAATTAAAACTTAATAATTTAAATAATATAATAATATGAACATTAAATGTTTAAGCTAAGCTACTTATTTATTTTACTTGATTAAAAAACGACATGCAACTCCTGATAGACATGTACAAACATACTTATTTACATACATATAGAAGTGTACTTACAGTCTTTCCAATGAAATTAGATCTTGTAAGGAGCCTTTCTCTATAGTGTGTATATGGTTGTCGGTCAACTGCCTGTAAATTCGAATAATTGTAATTTAAAATAAATTATTAAATACATAGGTTATATAGTGAAAAGTAAATTAATTAAATACATTTATAATTAATTCCTCTGAAAAATATGTTGGAATACTACTGAAGAGAGTCATACATGGCAAATATTTCAGGAAAATAGTAGAAACACATTCATATTTGAAGTGAGTTTTAAGATATTTTTGGAGATGCATTTTTAATACAATCGAAATATCGCATGATATACATAAAAATCAGAGAACTGCAATGGATGATTGAAAAATATTCACAACTTTAAAATGATTGTACTTTTGCGTATTGTTATTCAAATGTTTCAACAAAAAAATTCAAATTTGTTTTTAAATAAATCAAATTTGTACATTTTGTTTTGTTTAGTGTAGCCTGGTTTTGTTTTATGAATAAAATTATTGCTTAATTCATTCTAATCAATTTGAGTGTTTATTCGATCGACTCAGAAATGATTTTTTGATTAGAAATAAAACTCAAAAAGGCAACAATCAATGTGTGTGATTTATTGCTCAAATATTTATGAAAAACTTTGGGAGCTTTACGAAACCATATATGTATGAAAATCGTTGGATATCTTTAGTAATTCCATTCACAATAATTCCCTTTCTCTTCTGCTGCAACGATTTTTAAACACTTTGACTCTTAAATTGCAAAAATAACTCTATATTGCTTATAATTGGCAATAATTTGGTTAATATTGATAATGTATCTTTACAAATTTGCTTTAACATTATTGGTCATTTGACTTTTTTAAAAGTAGTTTTTTCATGTCCATATATCTTAAATTCACATTAATTAGTTCAATCATAACGTTCTGATCATGATAAAAATATGAAGATAGTGTCATTTCTCTCTCTCAAAAATTTTTTGAAGTCTACTGGTATTTTTGATATTTGTATTTTGTAAACAAATAGAAAAATCCTTGCCATAGTATATGAAAAATGGGAAAATTTATGTTAATGATTTCTAAAATATTTTAAGTCCAGCGATAACCGTTGTTGAGCTGGCCCGATTTAGATAGTTAGTTTGAAAGGAGGATGTATGTTTCATCAAACCTGAAGAAATACACCTAGGTTTACACCGGGCCTGTTGTGGTCTCCTTTATTAGTGTCTCTGGTGGAAATCGAACCCACGACTTCCGGCCTAACAGACTAGAATACTAACAACTAACCCACCGGAGGCACACAGATTTAAAAAAAAAGGATTATAAAAACTTATGTACATATACATACATATACGTAGATGGATCAAATTTAAGATAAATATATATTTCTTTAAGTTTAAAAGTATTTCATACACAAAATGGACATGTGGTATACGGTTTACATAAAAAAATTAACTTATAAAGTAAAGGCGAGCAACAAGAAATTCCACTTAGCATTCTTGTCCAAACCCTAATAAGTAAGTAAAGTAGCCAAAGATTTCATGACAGCATTATTTTGCACTTGAAGAAAACCGCGTATTCTTGGACCGAATGGACAGCTAATTCTGGTTCATTCTGCCTACATATATATGTACCTACATATACGTATGTATACCGTTTTTAGTTGGTTCCTCCTGTTAATCAATTCCGCAACTTAAAGAACATGGGAAGCAACATACAATGCTTTCGGAGGCGCCTAGTTATCAATTTGATAATAACAGCTTATATTTATTGATGGATTTTTTTTTTTTGTTTTTTGCAGATTTAGTAAAATTTTTAATGTATTTTTATTGAATTTAAATTTTTTTTGATTTTCAGTTTAATTTTTATTTAAATTTTTGTTTGAAAAATAAACAAAAATAAATAGGATTTTCAAAATAAATGTGGTAGCTCGATTTATTAAAATACCAGCAAACGTCAGAAGGTTACTATGGCGACAAAAAGAGAGAATGACACTACCTTGATATTTTTATCATGGTTCTGATTATATTCATTCATTTTTATATGTTTTGTTTTTATTCAAAACCATATTTTTTGCGTTCAATGTGTGAATAAAAAATTGTGTTTGAAAATACAATAATTCAAATTGTTTTTTCTTTGTTTTGAATATTTTTCACACATGTGTTGATTTGAAATATTTGAATTTGACTTTATTCAATATTGAATTTTTTGAATTACCAAAACTCAATAAAAATTTTATTGTATGCTTATATCAGGAAAAAATATTTTTGCAGTTGTATGATACATATTATATCTAAAAATATTTTTGAGATTTTTTAAAATATTTTTTTGAAATTGTAAGATTTTGGACAACAATGCTGAAACTAATTATCTTTACAATTTAGCGTTTTCATACCAAACCCATAAAATCAAAATGACAGTTTCAAAAAAATAACATAAACCATTTTTGCAAAATTTATCAAAAAAGTTTTCCATGAATTTTTATTTGCCAAATGTAAACGCAATGTTTTATTCATATTTAAATAAAAGTCCTCTTTATTAATATTTTTTATAAAAAATATTTGTAATAAAATGTTACAGTTTCAATTGAACAACCTACTAATTACTGTAACAATTTGTCCGTTATGAAAACTGAAATAAGCTCCTTTATATTGCATCTCAATTATAACAGCGTATTAAAAATTCTTATTGCATATATTTTATATGAATTTTCGGCATTTTTTATGGTGCCATGTACATACATATACATATTTATGTATATAAGTTTCTTTATAATACTTACAATATTCTTAGTTTGGTCAACCTTTGGAAATCAGACTCAAAAATCACAGTTATATTATTTCCTTGCAAGTCTCTGTAAAAAAAAGAAAAAACATACATATTTGTTATTCAAGAAGCAAGTTACATAATATTATCTTCTTTTAAAAACGTTTAATGTTGATATTTTCAATTAGTTTCTTGTATTAGTTTTAAACAACATTTGATATCAAATTTTATAAACTGCATTCTGCATTAATATCGAAAGAACTTTCAATAATTTACAAATGGACACTCTTACCCATCCTTAGGATAGAACAAGTTGAACGGGCTCTTCGGGACTGGATCAATCTATGCTAAGGCTGCGATATGCACGAAATAAGTATCAATAAAAGGGTCGGAATTTTATGGCCACTACTCTTGATAACCACAAAAACATCCTATGCACAAGGGTCAAAGATCCAAATTATTTATGCAAGAGGAACGAGAAGACGATAAATGCGGCTTTCGTCGGTGCTCAAACAAGAGGGCGAAATGTCAACCCAATTAAAACGAGAATCTGTACTTTCACAAAAAAGTTTCTACCAATACTGAATGCAAGTTCTTGGACAAGATGATATCAGTGACAAGGTTAATTACTTAGGTGTAATCCTTGATCTGTGACTAAAATGGACGTATTTCTTAGAAGATTAACCAAAAGTATAGGCTCGAAATGGGGCCTATAGTGGTCCAACTATGACACTCTGGCTTTATAAAAGCGCAATTATACTAATTCTAACTTACGCTTATACAATGGACAAAAGTTGTAATATAATACCATTACATGGAGAGATTCTTTCGATCGAAACGCATGTAAGATACTTACGGGCGATCAGATCTTATCTTACTTTTGTCACATGAGTCTATAATAGATAGAAACTCTGTCCTAAAGTTCATCAAAGCAGAGACTGAGAAAATATTTAACAGTTTCCTCTTCGTCCTTATTGTGGCAGTTCCTGCAGTAGTCATTATATAGAAGATTCTAAAATGCACAGCCATAATTCATTGCCCTTTCAGAATGGCCACCAATATACATAAGTAGACTCATCCTAGAAATTCCCATCAAACCCGTAGCTCATCATATAGAGGCCAGTTCAATCTTGATGTCAGTGATGACCAACTGGTCTAAGCAGACCTATAAAGTTCATGCTGGATGCAAGATTTGCAGCACGAAAATGATGCATGCGGGAACCAATCCATCGATCTTGTGGAGTGCCACATTTTCTGTAAACAGTGACATTTCCTATAGTACAAATTATGACTCTATTGGTCCAAAGTCTACTTATAAATTGGAAGGTCCGTTGGATAACTGCCTGACCAGCGAAAAATCGATTCTGGTAGCCGATTTTCAAAGGTCTCTTCAATATCAAGGAAGGCCTCTAGTGTGTATTCTTTATGCTCCAGCGTAAATCGGTTTTAAGAGATTTACTCTTATGTAGGCGTGTTGAGAAGCAGATAATCGATTAGGATCGAACTTACTTCTTAAAAGTTAGCAATGATCCGTACCAAAGATTTTAAAAGAAAGAATGACAGTCGTATAGACCAGAAATCCTTCGGTTTTGTATGAGATGCTTTCTCCCTTTATGAATAAAGACCACCGTACATCTGGTCCAAAATTCAAGTAATTTTTTTCAGTTTGAAATACCTAATCTATTGTGTGATAATAGGATTTGGCAACCCATTTCCAAACTTCGCTTTTTCCGATTTTTTCGACCACGTCATTGTATTGTTTACAAATTAAAGTTTCCGACTAACAATGGCACATAATGTCCAATATGACAATTTTAAAAGAGTCAAAAAAAGGCCGTTTAAGTAAATCCATAATGCAACATACACAGATGTTGGGAGCAAAAGAATGCATATTTCTGAAAACCTAATCAAATATTTTAATATATTTTTTATTGAAAGTTTCAAAGTGTTCATCGATGTTATTGCTCTTTTTACGAGTTTCATAATGTTTATGGACACTATGTTTTTAGTGTTTCGTAACGTCCATTACGACATGCCACCTTTATTAACTATAAATAGTTAGTTAGTTAGTTACTTTGAAAGGAGGAAGAAATACACCTGGTCCTCTCTCGAGCCTGTTGTGCGCTCCTTTACCAGTGCCTCAGGTAGGAATCGAACTCACCACCTACTGGGTTTTCTTTGCGAATTTTCTCCGAGAACATGTATCTACGTGTTTGAGGCATGTCTTTAATTTCTGCATTTGTTGCCAATTCGGCAAATATTTTCACATTTTTACTTAAGCTTTAAATTTTGTTAAAACTGTCTATCTTTATGCTTTTAGAAGGCATTCAGTCAATTGGATTTTAGAAAAAATTCTTTTTCGGAGATGATAAGAGCTTTTTCGCGTGCCATTTCTTTAAAATTTTAAATAAAACTGTATAATTTTTATGGCATTACAGCATATGTTTATATGAAACATTCCCTTTTCAAGTGATGAATACAATTTTTTTTAAATCCATTAACTATAACAATATTGTTAATAATTTTTAAATCCCCTAATGTAGGGTTTACAAGATATGTATAGTCGTCCAAAGTTGGTAAAATTTAATTCCTTATTCAAGTGATTCGGGCTGTAGGTTTTTAGAGCGTTTTTATTTCGATGTAAATAAATAATGTAGAAACATAAAAGTGTTTTAAAACATCCCCTAAAATTGTGTTATAGCATGCATTTTATACAGTAATAAATACAGTACTTTTTAAGTAATATTTAGAGTTTTGTTCAAGAAATCACAATAGTTAATTGAAGATAGAGAAAATATCGTTTAAAATTTAACAAGTATACTTACAATCTTTCAACATCGGCCGATATTTTACGAGGCACCTGTGTGAGTCCTCGATGTGAACAATCCACAGTTAATCCATTGCATGAACATACACGGGGACAACGAGATTCACTAATTGTACCTAAACTGCCTCCCGGTATATGTATTCCAACTGATGCTCCTCCAAAAGGTTCTGCTGATATCGATAGCAGTGTACATGACAATACTAATGTAAAACCGAGTAATTTTCGAAAAAATGGTCTTTTTTGATCCGAAGTTGACCAGTTACGCCTCGTTCCACCTTTACACCGCAATGGGGGTTGATAATGTGTCATAATTGAACATTAATAATTTAATTATTGTTACCACACTAACAAAAACCAAAAAAAAAATAATATTTATTATATTTGTTATTTTTATGCACTTGTTTTTTATTTAATTTATTTTAATTTAATCGATTTCAATCATTACAAAACACTGTTTTAATGAGTTTTCCTCTCAATTCGAAACTTTTTCTTGTATTAAACACTCTTCAATTCAATTTAGACAATTTCTAGACAATTGTTGAATATAGATATAATTGAATACATACATATTTATGTACCTACTACTTCTTTTAAAGAATTAATCAAAATCATGTATTGTTTTTGTTGTAAGTATGTACATACATATCTATCACAAGATTATTTTTTAAAAGCAAATTCATATGTTGGTGACGAGAATAATTGTTAGCTTTATTTCTTCTACGAACTAGATTAATGCTGCGTTCGCTTTAATTTAACACAAATTTCTCTTTTAATTTATATCACAACCGATGGATATACGCACTTTTCGGACACTGATATTTAAAATTGTTTGTATAGTGCTACGAACCTTATACATCGAATTTAAAAACAAGCCCTTGTGCTCTCACTTTAATTGTTCGACAATAACGTTGAAGTAAAATGTAAAGAGTGAGAGCAAACGAGAAAATATAACAAGCGAGAGAGATGCAACGAGTGTAGGAGGGAAAAGAAAACAAAAGACACTAAGTAGAAAATGAGAGATTTGAAGATCCGCTCGATGTGTCTGGTGTTTACAAGTAGGTAGCTGTCGAGTATCGATCGTTGCCTGGGAATGCCAAGTGTAGTAAATTTAATGGTGGTAGCACAGAAAGAAAGCAAATGTTATCCGGAGTGTTTTTTAATTATTCTTTTTGATGTTTTTAAAAATGCCCTTAGGTACGCGTCGATGAACATCTGAAATAAGCAGAAAAAATATGATTTTTATTGATTATCGACGTATTTTGTAAGAATTTTTGTTATGTATGTACTATGTACGTTAAGAACAGATACTTTAAATATATATTGCATAGTGCATGTCTGCATGTATGTATATTTTGAACTTAATTATTTATAATATATTTTAAACTATTACTTCTCATTATCCAGACATTAATTCAAAACACAAGAATGTGCGTTATATACATATTTTTTTAGGCCAAATATGCACCAACAGATACAGAAATACTTACATACATATGTATATGATAACCGAAAAATGGGCATATAAGATGTATGATCTATTTTTTGCTCATGGAGTGAAATTATTTAATGTCTGATAATTTAAATTTTTTTGTTTCCTACTTTCTCGTGAAATTTAAAAGTTTTTGAGTACTTACGTCATTTTTGGGCTCTTAATTCTCAAATTAGATAAGTAAAATTTTAATAGACCCTTAAAATATTTTCGGCAATTTATTGCAGAATTACTAAGACAAATGTATTGATGGGTCCAGTTTTTTTTTTTTTTTTAAATTCCCTTGACATTATGTGCGATAAATCTGACACGTATTTACCAAATTATTAGATTTATAAGATCAGTGTTATCAAGATCTAATAATTTTATATATATTTTATCGTAAGTTAAATTGGCAGTTTTCATGCAAAAAATATTTTAACCAGCAGAATATCTACAGGTTAAACGATAACCGGAGGTGGAGTTAACGAGCCTAAATAAAAAATATGTGCCCAGCAAAAACTTTAATTACCAAGTAAGAGGATAAAATTATAAAATTCACTTAAACAACAGTATTTTAACTTACTATGTATATACATATGTATATAGTTCAATGCTAATTAAATGAAAAACTTGTACAGCTTAACTGAGAAGATGACTAATGAATTATAATGTATTTCTATAACACATTAATTATAAGACTACTTCTATGTAATCAGGACGCTATATATGTAGTATTCTTTGAAAAGGTCGTTAATAGGTAGGTGGTTAAAATTGAAAGTCAACACCAAGTTTTTACTGGTTTATTCAGGAAATTCATAAGTTAAACTGTGTTTTTAAAATCCCACTTAAACGAGATTTTAACGTAAATGCTTATGTGTTTCTGATAAGAAGAGCATAACTAATTAAATTTTGGGTTTTTGTAAATAACTTTTTCTAAATTAGATTTTCTAATAATATGGGCATATCCTACAACGCAGTTTTTACGAATTTTGGAAAATCAAAATTTATGTTCGAATGTTACAAATATGACATCTGCGCCCCTTAACCAAAGTTATTAACACGAGCAGATTCACCATACATATATGTATTTTGCACTCCTTAACCAAAATTATTAGCACGAGCAGATTCACCATATACTCGCCAACAATTTTCGTTTTAAAAACTATATGCATATGTATTTATTTCTGTATGTTTTTTTAATAATTGTCTTTAACAGGTACTAACAAAAACGTTAACTCATAACTTATTACTAAGAAGTTGGGATTTTTGCCTGATATGTTAATATTGAAATTTCCCAAAATTAAGTAAATAAAGCAAATGTTTAAAAATATGCTACTAATTTATCAAATCTATGCGCTGCATACCTTTAACAGGGACTATCACTTGTTTACTTTAAATTAAGGTTTATCTAGTTAATATATGTATTTCCATAATATTGTACATACATACATACATACATATGTATACATATTTGAGTTACAACCAAAATATCAGTACGTGTTCGCCAGTAGTATACTAATAAAGAAAACCTTTTTCTCAGGTCATTTTGATGCAAAAACCTTCCGCGGCCAATATTTACTCGAATATTATTTTTTGCCCCTATGTCCCGATAATATAAAATATATATCCAAAGTTTTATTAAAATCGAACATTCTTAACCCATACTGTTGAGTTCAAAAGTCAAATTTTGCAATATTTGGGAATTCTCAATGTACCATATCGAAATAATATTTATTTGTCGGCCATATTTACCAAAAATTACTGGAATTTTTTGTATATAGTCCGATATTTCAAATAGAGTGAAAAAAGCTAAATAAAAATTAACCCTTTAAGGCACTTGGGAACAATTTAAAACCAAAGTTCAAAAATTCGAAAAAACACTATCTATTTGAATAATGCTCTATATACTTAGAGGAATAACAGAAATAAAACAACATTTAGAGGAATAACATTAATTAGGGTAATAGGAATATTTTGTATAAAAGCCCAAATATAAAATTTTTTAAACAGCACTTCCTCAGAAGGTAAAAAATTCAATTAGTATTACTTTTGAAGTGGTGATAAATGTTATTCTTTTGGAAGTACTTCGTTTTATTTTTGATGGGAACTATTAAAGTTTTCAAGCTATTTTTGCGTTTTATATCTTTCGGAAATGCTAACTCTATGCACATTATGATTCCTTTAAAATAAAGTGCAAACTTTATTACTAAATGGCAAAATTTGAGGAAAAAATGGAAAAAACGATACTTTCCCCTTGTAAATGCACTTGGAAACTTCAGAGCCCTTGCGCCACCTGTTAACGTTATCCCATCAGTCAAATTTTTTTGTATGACATAGTTTTATAACCCAAAGAACAATTCTAAGTGGGGGAGCAAAATTCGCAACTTCGTTTTTTTGGAACACTCTAATGTACATACATATGTATATATATTAAACCGAATCACTGTATATGGAAACCAAAAACATGTTTTTGTTACCCCATTTAATACATACATGCATACATACATACATACATACATACATACATACATACATACATACATACATACATACATACATACATACATACATACATACATACATACATACATACATACATACATACATACATACATACATACATACATACATACATACATACATACATACATACATACATACATACATACATACATACATACATACATACATACATACATACATACATACATACATACATACATACATACATACATACATACATACATACATACATACATACATACATACATACTACATACATACATACATACATACATACATACATACATACATACATACATACATACATACATACATACATACATACATACATACATACATACATACATACAATACATACAATACATACATACATACATACATACATACATACATACATACATACATACATACATACATACAGACATACATACATACATACATACATACATACATACATACATACATAATACATACATACATACATAGATAGATTACATTGCAAACAGTAAATCAATAATTTAAAAAAAATTGCAGTATTTTTTTTAATTAGAGCAGTTTTTACACTTCTGGAATCAAGTTCAATGTTACACTTATAGATTTTTACATAAAAGTACACAATTGTGACATACATATGTACATATATTCACATACGTACATATGTATGGATGAATTTAAAAACCCTTAGGAATTACTTCAGCCAATGATTTTTAAGGTGTCATATACATATGTATGTGAATTTAGAAATAATATGTATGTATCTTAAACGCGAATTTTGTAAACATTTGTTGAATACTCTTATATTAAATTATTTTTAAGTGTTACAAACCGGATGTTGGTTGAGTCTTTTATTATTTACTTACTTCATTATATTAATTTTGATTTATCAATTATGTATAGTGTATGTAAGTAAAACTTTTTAAAGAATAGCGTAACCATTATTTCTAATGAACTTTTTCAGATCATATGTGCTTTTTGTAATTAATAATAATATCGAAGCATATGCATATAAAAACGATAACTTCAAGACTATGACGTGTGTATGCATGTTTATGTTAAAAGGATATCCAAATGTCAATTTCACGTTATTTTACAAATAGTTGACAAGCGAGGGAGGACATAACGTAAGTTAGGTGTGCAAATTTTAAGAAATTTCTTTGTCTGGGTGATTCCTGCCAGCGATCTAGCTTATATACGGAGTTTACATACATACATATGTATGTATGTATGTATGTATGTATGTATGTATGTATGTATGTATGTATGTATGTATGTATGTATGTATGTATGTATGTATGTATGTATGTATGTATGTATGTATGTATGTATGTATGTATGTATGTATGTATGTATGTATGTATGTATGTACATATGTATGTATACGTACGTAATTAGTATTGTATTACTGAGATTTGGATTTCCTAAATAGTAACCCCCTTATTCACAAACAAAATTTTTATTTTATAAACAGTTTATAAATTCGATTTTGTATGGAAATTTTGTTTTATAAACCTTTTATAAAATAAAAATGTTGAATAAGGGGGTAAATAAAATTGTAGGTCTGTGATATTTTTGGAAGACTTAAAATATTAACATTTTATAAACAAAAAACATATTCTTAATTTTTCATAATTTTATTTTTAAAACAACTAATAACTTCTTCAACTTCAGTTTTTAATTTTTTTCAACTTTAATCGACTAAAAACCTGACTGAAAAAGTTTTATTACTGTTTACATTATTCTCATATAAATTTCAAAATTTATAATTGTATTTATTGATAAACAAAATATTTTACAAAATTTTTAATTATAAATTTGCCTAAAAATATGATTATTTTCATTTAATATTGAAATACTTATCAAAATTGATCATTAGTTGTGTTTTGTTGCTATCAATGAGTGTTAACGCTTAAAGTTAGCAACAAAACGAACATTACCTGACTTGGTATCACCCCACAGAAAAAAGAATCTTAAATCTTGAAATTATTTACAATTTTTTGAAAAAATTTTTTTATTTGACAATTTTCTTTAATTTAAATTTTATTTTAAAATATTTTTTTATTGTTTGACATAAACACATTAATATTAGTTGTGTTTTTTTCCTAACGTTCAAAGGCAATTTCATATAAATTTAAAATTTATACACATTAGGAGTTAACGTGTAAAATTATACAAGTTCATTTTAACTTCGATAAAAGTGCTACCAAATTCAATTCATGTC